TACAGAGAGAGAGAGAGAGAGAGAGAGAGAGAGAGAGAGAGAGAGAGAGAGAGAGAAAGTGAGCAGAAAGCATCCACAAAATTCATTCACATTCTAAAAGTTTTCTAAAAATGTAATTTCTGATCCTAGCAATCTCCACTCCACTCACCTCCAATCACGCTATTGTCCTTCCCTGCCATCCCTGAATTCGGACGTCCTCCACTACTCATAGTAATATCGTACTGTTGCTGCTGCTGCTGCTGCTGCTGTTGTTGTCGTCGTTGATACGCGCCGGGTGGAGGTGGTGGAGGTTCAGTTTGAGCCCAGGCGGCGGTATTTTCTTCCGTTCCAGGCCCCTCGCCAGAGGAAGAAGAAGAGGTGGTGGCCTGGTTTGCGAATGCGGTAGTGGCAGTGTGGGCAGTGGTGGTGGTAGCAGCGGGGGTGAGAGAGGTAGAGGTAGAGAAAGAAGAAGAAGGATCATCGGCGTGGTCCACGCTTGTCTGGCCTATGGGAGGCAAGAGCCTCGGCGTTTGCTGTTGTTGTACCACTGCGGCTGCGGCGACTGTGGACGAGTTATTGTTGCCGTGGTCCTGAGAGAGGGGAGGGAGGCCTTTTTTCCCCGCCAAATACTCACCACTACCACCACCACCACCACCGTCGCTATCTCTACTAATATTACCTTGTCCCACCTCCTCATCATCACCATTAACACCACCAACAATACCACCACCTTTCTTGTAATCACCATTGCTGCTGTCAGCTGCATTTATATTTTTTTGGTCAACCCCGTTTTCAAAATCGTCCGGGTAATCTTTCTCGCCGTAACTCAAGCTCGTCAAGCTGGTCTTTTTATCACCATGATCATCATCATCGACCACAACTTTCTTCACCCCACTGTAGTAATTGTTGTCGTCAAACCTCTCGATATCTCCCACAGGTGTGAGCGATGTTTGAGCAGGGCTGAAAGACCGCATACCTTCAGTCTCGGCAGCAGTAGCAGGTTGATCGTTCTGGTTTCGTCCATGATCGTCCTCCTGTTTGTATTTCGGGAGGTCGGTGGGCGACGGGACATCTTCGGGCCTGTGTGGTTGGGGGACGGGTGTCTTTAGGTCCTCTCTCGTCTGCTCTCGGATGAACTGTTCCAGCTGCAAGTCTTCGGCCAGGTTTTCCAGCTCGATTTCTCTCTCGGTCCCCGGTTCGGGGGACACTCTGTTGTGAGCCATTATAATGTTTTGCGGACTATCCTGAGACGTTTAATTGATAACCCTTTAGTTCGATTTCACGAAGCACAATCTACAGCCAGATTGAAAGTTTTAAAAGTTTGTCTATAGCAAATGATCGTCAACCAAGAAAAAGTTTGTAATTTCTTCTCCTGAAACGACCAAACTGTCTCATTTTCCAGGGGGAGGGGAGTATTTAAAGTGACTGTTTTTTTCAATAACAAAGCCTTAAACTGTTTGACAAAATTATTCCTTCTGTAAGAAAGGGGGACTTGAACCTTGAACTCTCAAGTCCAAAGGCGGGAACGTCGAACCACTTGGGGTGGTACAGGTAGAAATAAAGTCAAATAATCTCTCCCCCTTGTTTAAATCAGTCTCTTCTTATTTATGCTATAGCTCTAGCCACTTGTAACGCTTGAATAAATCTTTCTGTTGTCCCTCGATTCATAAAGGACAAAGAAAAGCGTAGCAATCACGAAGTATTAATAGTCTCCAAAGCTCAGTGCACGGTTTTTGAACCCGACTAGAGAATCGATCAAGCCGGCATGAAAATACGACAGAAAGGCGAGTAGCTAGACTGCAAAAACCAGCTATTATCGCACGCAAGAAGTAGTCAGTGAGTCCACTTTCACATTGAGACCTTAGCAATACATGTATAAATCTCAAAGCCCCCACTTCAAGCGCTGACGATCGTTTTCCAAAGACCTCTCAATAAATATATTGATATATGCCTTTACGTCACATGTATGTCTGTGTGTTTCTATCAGGCTTAGGGGTCACTTTCGCTTTGGTGTTGGCGTCACACCTTTGCCTGCCAGCCAGCTCAACGGACTGTGGCGATCAAAGGAGAGGGGGTGGGTATTGGCTGGCTCTGCCCGCCCTCTCGAATAGACTCGCTGCCCGCTATGTTGATATTTTGTAATGTGGAACTCGCAAGTCGCTATGGCTGCGTGGTCAATGTAGGGACAGACGCTCTATACAGAGGGTCACAGCTGAGGAAAGAATAGTAGACCAGAGCATTATTTGAATGGTAAAGGGTTGGTATTGATTTTTGTCGCGTTTTGGGAGTGATATTCTATTTTGAAGAATGGTATATGTTTGCATGGGGCAATGTAAGTTTACTCAGATACAAGAATATATAAAATTTATATATAAAT